CTTGACCATGTCTACATGCCTAAATGCACTGAGTTGCTGCCATGTGATTGGCTGATTAGAAATTAAGTGTTAACGAGCAGTTGGACAGGCGTACCTAATAAAGTGGCCGGTGAGTGTATATGACATCATGAGGAAAGAACATTATGTGGAATTACTGAAGCAACATCTCAAGACGACAGTCAGGACGTTAAAACTTGGACAGAAATAGTCTTCCAAATAAACAATGACCTGAAGCATATACTGCCAAATTGGTTACAAAGTGGCTCAAGGATAACAAAGTCAATATTTTGGAGTGGCCATCACAAAGTCCTGATGTCAATTCTATCAAATATTTATGGTCAAAGCTGAAAAGGCAAATGTGAGCAAGGCGGCCTTCAAACATGACTCAGTTCCACCAGTTCTGTCAGGAGGAAAGGGGCAAAATTCCTGCAACTATTATGACAAGCTTGTAGAAAAATATACAAAATGTTTGACTCAAATCATACAGTTTAAGGGAAATAAATACTAATGAAGTGTATTTAAACATATGACTTTGAAGAAAGTGATAAAAAATTGCTATAAAAACTATCTATTTTATTATTCTGACATTTATCAAATAGAAAAAAGTTTCACGTCAGACATTGTGAAAAAAATGCACGTGTCTTTTTTATCGCTGTTGGCGTGTTATGGAGCGCAGTGGAACCTAGTGCTGATGTGGTACTTGGGTTGGTTTGTACTAAAGTGGCATGATCATGGTGGGAATATAATAGACTGCTCAAAAAAATAAAAGGAACACTTAAACAACGCACGCTAAGTCCAAGTAAATCAAACTTTTGTGAAGCACATTCAACTCTGTACAGAACAAAGTACTCAATGCAAATATTTTATTGATTAAGATCGGGAGTTAGCGTGCGTTGTTTAAGTGTTCCCTTTATTTTTTTTTGAGCAGTGTATGTTGGTGGTAACCCGCACCCATTTTAAATCCAAAGGGGATTTGTACTATATAAAAAAAACTTTACTTATTTACTTACTTATATTGAGCATATTGAGGCCATGAGATGCAGAAAATAGAAGACGAAAACTTTTTGTCATGACTGAATTCTCACTGATATAATTTTTCAAATTTGCTAGGATCCAGCCATGTTTTAAAAAGGTGGACGTAAAATTAAGGCTATTTAAGGCCCTGTTTACCAATCTCTGGAAACATAAATGTTTTAGCACACTAAAAGTTTTAGCAGTGCGGTGTCGCTTACAAATGTGGGAAGTTGTAATAATGCTGTGTCTTTATTTCTAAGAAAACTTGTCAGCCTCTGACAAGCTATCATGCCTTTTTTTACATCCCCTAGTTACGAAACAAATCTTGCACAAACATTTGTCTTACAATTTAGACTTATTGATAATAGTCACATTTTTAAATATGAYGTCAGTTTAAAGGGTGAGAAACAAAGAAGAAAAACGTCTGAGCAGAAAACCGTTTCCAAAGATCCTGTTACCTCATGTGTAGAGAATTTCGAGAAACATTGACATCTATTTTCACATTTATATTTCTTTAGCCTTCCTTTTTTCTATTCATRAACTCTTTCGTTTCCTCTCTTCTGTCTCACTTCACTCAGAGAAACAGAAGTCCCTCACTGTGTCAGGAATCATCCTCCCACCACGCGTGGTCGTTGGTCAAAAGGGGAGACTGACGTTGAGCATCGAGGGCAGGCAGGTGGACCGAGTCCAGACCACATGGTTCCTCAATGACACCCCCATCATTGACACCTCACTCACAGGTAGGGGGGGGAGTGAGTCACTTTTATTATCAGTTACTTCATGAGGCTTAAACTCTAAAACATTGCCAACACCAGTTTGTTTGGGYCAAATAATGAGCAAAATAAATTATTAAAATAAAACAAACAGCACTGAGTTTTATAAGATGATAAAAGGTTGCCTTTTGTGTCATGATAAAATGAAATTCAGATAAGATGACGCAGCTGCTACATCTCACAGTGTTGTCTCTTTTATTCTTGTATTTCGCTTGCGCTTTACACCCTTACATGCATAGAGACTTCCAAATCTAACTTTAACTGCCTCTACAACCCTCTAACCACCATCCATCTGCCCTATGGTCTAACTCTCACCTCCCCAGCTTCAGAGAAAGGTCCTCTCCTGACCTCCAGAGGTGAAACGGGTTACTACAAGCTGCACACTCAGGGACCCCTGCATTCCTCTGGAAAGGGAGCTCAGCAGCTGATCTCGGCRCTCACCTTCATCCCTCAGATTTCACTACACAAGGGGGCCGTGTTTAAGTGTCAGGTGGCCTACGTGGGGAAGGACAAGATTGTTCAAGAAAGGGTGTCGGAGAGGTTTACTATTCTGTGTGAGAACTTTTGTTTTCTGTTTTAAGACTATTTAATTTTATGTATTTCCGCATCTGTAGCATGTGTTTCTCTTATTCCACAGCTTCCCCAGAGGTGTCAGAGATACAGCTGGCAGAGACAGAAAATGATCCAGGTAAAACAAATGTTTGTTTCTATGTCGTCGTCTAATTTTCTCAAATTTTTTTTTTATCCTGGTTGATGCTACATCCCTGCTACCCTCGGCTCCCAGATGTCATCAGGATGACGGTCCAAGCATCACATTTCCATCCGGATGTCATCACCTTCCGTTGGTTCTGCCAGGGCGGTGAGCTCAGCCCCGTGGCGTCGCAGGCCTCGTCCTCGCCTCGGCCAAATTCCGAGGGATTCTTCTCGGCCTTCAGCCAGTGCAAACTTCCCCGGAGCGAGCTGGAAAAGGGGGCGGCAAAGGTGTGGGTCAGCGTCCACCACATCGCCCTGAAGCAGCCGGTCACTCGTGAAACCAGAGGTGTGAATGAAAAACAACCACCCCCCAAAAAAAGCCTTTTTAAGTTTAAAATAAAKCTCTTAAAACGTCAGACAAAAATGACCCTGTTCATCCCATTCAGGCTTCATCAAAAGGCCGCGAGTGTCCGACATTATCAGCAGCTCCAAGTCTTTAAATCAAAGTTTGGATCTGGGATGTGAAATTACCGATTTCTACCCCCCGAACATCTCAGTCACTTGGCTGAAGCTTCGAGATGGAGAGGAGGATGATAGAGAGGAGGAGGTGATGGAGGGAGGGCAGCTGTGGGGCCCCATACAGACTCATCCCAGACTTTTCAGGGCCACGGCCGCCCTGAAGAAAACCATAACCCACCAGGAGAAAAGGGACAGAAGAGGGGGGATCATCTGCAGAGTCGAGCATTGTTCTTTACTCGAACCAATAGAGAGACAATGGAGACACTGTGACCTTGGTATGAAGCATTTTAAACATAATAAATTGTTTGTTTTTTTTTCATCTGAACTCCTGGTTTGTTTGTTTTTTCACTTTGCTTTTCTAGTTGCTCCCATCATTCCTTCATCTATTTCGGTTTGCTGGAGCTGTGAAGGTGTCGGTGTGTTCTCCCTCCTGTTGAAGGGAGGTCACCCTAAGGCGAAATTATTCTGGGTGGCAGGAGGATCTACGTTGTCCCCATTAGAGTCCAGTGAGGCAGAGGAGATAGGAGATGACGGACAGAGGGAGCTGAAAAGTGTCTGTGCCCTGGAGAGGTCCGAAAGCCCACTAAATTCAACCAAAAAGCAGCTGGAGGGACAGAAGACCATATGTAGAATAAGTATAAGTCTTATCTAATAATTACATTTATTATTACCTGCAACCAAACGCTAAAGCTAATATCAAAATATTGTTATCAAATTATGTTTGCAGGATATGCGTAACGTCTTATCTAATATCTCTTCACACTCCTATTTCAGTTTTAACCTTTTTTCCTCAGAAACTAAAGCTGCAGTCACAGACCCTGAGACTGAAGGGATTGAATTCATCGATGAGAAGGTGGACGAAGAGAACGACAGCACTGACAGAGACAAGGAAACCTTATCTGAGCCAGAGGAGGACAACGACAAAGAAAATGAGGATGACCCGAAAGCACTTCACATCAACAGAGTCAACCTGAGAGCAGTTTCTAGAGAAAATGAACGAGCACGACTGAGAGTGTGTGTAGAGRTCACACACCCCGCGCTCAAACTTCCTGTTTATCGAACATGGACAGGTGAGGTGCCTTACTTACAAATGTAAGAGTTATGGATCTAAAAGACCCATTGTTATAAAGCCAACATTTTACTGTTTGTACAGATGATGAGTTATAGTCATTTCTGTGTTAATAGTTCTTTAGCCGCATTAGCCATTTTGAATAGGGTTAGTTATCGATAGAGAAAGCCTTTTTAATGCAAACTGAATGTCAAATCAGTAACTGTTTTGGTGTTGCACAGGATAACACTGTTACTCAACAGGAAGTGTGTTCATCGTTTGCTCCTGTCTTTCAGAACCCAATGAGGAAACTTCATMTTTTGCATAAAGCCCCAACAAGACTGCTTCCTTTCTCTGTGTATGCCCTCTAATGTATATTCATCTCTATATTAAATAGGAATTACGACGTCAAACTGTACCTGATCAATAAAACTCTTTCTGCCTCATACTCATTTGTGTGTTTATTTAAATGTTTTACCTTTTTCTAAATACAGGATTATTTCCTCCTATTATATGTGCTGATGATTTGACAATAAAAATCCATCATTATCCAAATTTTTCCCTATAAAATAAAGACTCTTTTTGTTGTAGAAGTGTTTCTTTGAGTTTCCTTTTATGTCGATAGACAAAGTAACTGTGACTTTCTGCTGTTTAGAGTTATGTGCAAAGCCAGCATCTGTTTTGGGCTACTGGCAGACATTAGTTCTTCTTTCAAAATAAACTTCTGGTTTTGTCACTTTGACCACAGGAACTATTTTTTTCATTCTGCATGGGAGGTGTTGCATGTTTACACTGACTCACTGTGGCCATTTTACATGCAGCACAAAGATGTTAAGAACAAATTGTTGTTCTTTATTATTCTTTTAATAACTCTGAAGGTGACGGGGACATGATCAAAGCGAACACCAATGTGAAAACAGTCAGACTCATAATAAAACATTTGTTAAAAAGTAATTAAACTAATGCAGCTGAAACTAATTGTTCAGGTCAAACACATGAGGCAACTCATGCTACCAGTATAGTTTCTAGCTTTGTGACCACAAAAGTCTGAAATCTCACTTCTCTGTAGCTCCACACCCACAGATTGCTCTTTAAGGGTCTGTTTGTTTAAAGTGACGATTCTTTCTTTGAAGCCAAAAAAAATGTTCATTTTAATGTTCTCCCAGACAGTAAAACACATTTTCATATTTAAAGTGAGATGAACTTCTCTTTATTTGGTGATGTTGGCAAGAAAAGAAGAGAGTCGTGCGAGTAAGATCAACAAGTGTGCTGAACTCTAATTTTATCACTTCTAACTTCCCCAAATGTGTGCACCGTTAGCAAACTGTTGTAAATTTTTACTGTTATTTAGACAAAACAGATTAGTCATTATTAAGCAATGAAGTGGAGTTCTGCAAAGTGGAGTTGTTTTTTTGTAACTTGTGCACAGCCTTTCAGCAGAGCCTCACATCAAAATGGATGGAATAATCCTTTAAGTCATGCACTGACCCAGTAGGTGTTTTGTCCTTTATATCTACCCCTGTTGTAGGAGTGAAGAGCAGTTTCAGAACAGCGCCACCACACATTATTTTACCTTATCTGACACATTTTTAGTAACCTGAGCTGACATATCAAGAATTTCTGTTTACATCCGCAAACTGTTGCAGCACACCAGTCACTCAGCTGCGTTAATCATCCTCTTCCTCATTACAATACACTAAAAAGAAAAAAAAAAAAACAAAGCAAACAGAGGGAAGTTAACAGTCAGCCGATCGTTTTAAAGCTTCTGCTCACGTTTACGGAAGAAGACTTTGTGATGCTGGTGTCAAGGTAAATGGTCAGAGAGACAAACAAGAAAGAAGAGTGACGATGGACGAAAACAGTGCTGCTGCCAGGGTGGAGAGGACTCTGTGGACAGTCTGGGTGAGTTGCTGCTGCATGTCATTGCTTCACAAACCCCATTGGTTTTAAAGTTTAATGCAACAAAATGTAAAAGTGTCTGTAAAGTTTCTCTTCTGGTTTGTCAGTGTGTTTCACACACAAACCCACACAGACAGCAGGAAGAGCCAGAGAGAGAGGCAAACAAGATAACAAACTGCAGTCTGAGAACTTGATTCTATCAGTATTTGTGGTTCTTATTTTATGCATTTTGTTCYTGTTTCCTTCGTTTTATTTTGTTTAATTCTCTCATTTGTTTCCCAAAGTCTCCCTATGTTATCGTTCATGTWGTACTTCCTCAGTCCGCCTTGTTCATCAGTCCTGCCCCTCGTTTCACACCTGTTCCTCATACTCATCAGTCTCAGCGTCATCCACTTACTTATTTCCCTCAATATTTACTCTCCTGGTTCTGATCCCTCCATGTTCCTCGTCTTTTTGTTTTTGTTTTGTATTGGCATGCTGCCATCTCAGCTTTTCATTTTTTATCTATCCATCCATCTATACCCGCTTCTTCCTTTCAGGGTCACGGAGGTCACTGGTGCCCATATCCAGCAGTCACAGTGCGAGGGGCGGGGTACACCCTGGACAGGTCGCAAGTCCATCACAGGGCCACACATAGAGACAAACGAGACAAACAACCATTCACTCTCTCACTCACACCTAGGGACAATTTAGAGTTACAAATTAACCTAACAGACATGTTTTTGGTGTGCTTTTAATTTTTTTTTACTTAAATCTTATTCTTTAATGCAGGGGTGTCACACTCAGTGACACAGGGGGGCCAAAGTTCAATACTTGGTCCAAGCCAACGGCCAATTTCTGTCAATATTTATTGAAAAACGTTGTATAACAAATTATTCTTATAATGTAAATGACCATTTCCAAATTATGTTATATGTAGCATTTAGAACATGTGTAACAAATAAAAATTATATTTTTGGCACCAAATTATAGCTGTTATGCAACTGACTTTCAGGACTCAGTGAAGGCCACTCAAGTTTCTCAGATATCCATTTATGAACCTTTCTTTGGGCAWGAAGGCATCATTGTTCTAAAACAGGAAAGGACCTTCCTCGAACTCTCTGCAACTCACTAGGGACACTATTGTGCAATCAGCCTCATGTGTTGTAAAACTAAAAGTATTTTTAAATGGTACTTAACACTGTTTCTCTGTTTTCATGATACCACATCTCATGTTTTAAAGAGCGTGTATTTTCTGCTTCTGTTTGTCAGTGTTACCTAAGTGAAGCTGTGAACAGATTCCTCAGGCCACAGCCAGCTGAGCCTGTCAACAGTAACCCAAACTCCCCCGGCGAATCCGGAGCTCATGGCGAGCCTCCAGACCGCGGCCTCTCACAGGACGACGTCGTCAACTCCAGTGAAAGAGAAGGAATCGATGAGGAACAGCCGCGCGCTGCGGTCTCTCTGCTTAGTACGTCTTCAGCTACCGTTGCCTGGACAGCTTGCACCAACGACTCAGCGTCTGACGAGGAAGAGGCCACACAGATGAGAAAAGGCAACGAGAACAAAGAGTCTGAGGATGAAAGGAGGACAAGAGAGGAAGRTTTGGACCATGAAGAGCTGCTGGACGCTGAAGAAGAAAAAGCAAATCAAGTCGAACAAAAGGATACGGAGATCAAAAAATTTGACTCTTCTGAACTAAGTGGGATGTCTACAAACGAGGAAGAAAGTACAGATGTAGGATCAGTAGGTCTAACCAATGAAACTGTCAGCAAAGTGATGGAGAAAAGTGATGAAGAAGGTGGTGGTGACGAAGAATCAAAGACACAAGACGAYTGTCAAAAAGTAGAAGAAGCCACGACAGAAACCCAGATAACAGAAGATGATGTAGAGGAGGATTTGGAGGATGAAGAAAAGCTTCACAAAGCAGAGGAAGGCGTGGATACAGATGATGTAACGCCAGCATTTAGGATGAAAGATGTAAACATTTGTGAAGGTGCGTTACATCTGAGCTCAGAAACTGAACACACTTCGGAGGAGAGAAGAAAACGAGCTGACAGTCAGCTCTCAGTCTGTGAAGAGGTGTCAGAGAACGAGCTGATCGTCCCTGAACTGGAGATTGGAGATAAAAATGATGAAAAGACGTTAGTGACTGCCACTGAGGAGGAGGAGGACATCAGCAACACGGCACAGAAACTGGCAGAAGATGAAGAGCCAGAAACTGAAAAGAACAACAGAACAGTTCAAGATGGCCACCAGGAAGAAAATGTTCTGACTGAAAGTGTTGCATGCAGTGAAGCAGCTGAACTCACATGTAAGGAAGAGGATGTGGTGGTCATCATGGAAACTACAGAGGCAGATGTGGCCACTGCAGGAACGGATCTAAATAAAAGATTTATTGATAAAGATCAGGTGGGAAACGAGAGGCCTGCGACTGAAGTTGACAACAAAGTGAGCTGCGTGGAAAACCTTTGCACCCCAGTTACCGTAAAACCTGAGACTGCACAGGAAGCAAGCAGGGAATTTAAAAATATTCCCTGGCGGATGAGCGAAGGCCAGGCCGCCGTGTCGCACGAACGAAGCACTGAGGCGAGCGAGGAAACACGAGAGGGAGGTCCTGAGCATAACAATGAGCTCGAGTCAGACGAAAACAAAACACAAGGCTTCTTGGAGGGAGGAAATTCTGGGGAAATCCACAACATTCCATTACCGGAAGAGGTGGAGGACGAAGAACGGGCGAGCCTTATAAACAGTGGCACAGGAGCTGACTATTCACTGGAGGGGGAGCTTTTGGAGGAGACACAAAACAGCATAGACAGAAGCAACAGCAAGGTTGTTTTGACTGAGGAGGAGCTCACTGAAAGTCAGACCTCAGCACGAGACGCAGAGAAACCACAGAGCGAGAAAGAAAACCTAGAATCCGGATTTTTATTTGAAGAAGAAGAGGTGGAATCACTGGATAGCTCAATGAAGACTAAGTTCAAACTCCTAGGGAAAGAACTGGAGACTTACGATGAGACCGATAAGACAACGGAGGAGCTGCAGGATGGAGATAAAGCTCCTGAATTCGGAGCAGATGGAGAGCCAKTCAGTGCTGCTGGAGATGGTGATGAGAGGAACGAAGGCGTAGCTGTAGATAAAGAGGTTGAGTTTGACGAAGGAACACCAAATTTCCTTGAGGCTCAAGCAATCACAGAACCAAGCTTGTGTCTAGATCCAGCACAATCCGCACACACAGACCAAACAAGTGAAGGGATGTATAACTTAGAGGACAAAACTGATTTGATGATTTTGCAACAGATGGAGATTAAATTATCTGACGATAATGTAGAAATTCTACACGTAGGCACCGAGGAAGAAGCTTCTACTGCAGAGGAAGAAGAGAATAAAATGCAGGACATAAACCAGACCACAACTCTGCAGTTAGCAGAAACAACAGAGGAGCTTATTCAAACACAAAACGACAAAGTAAACGCTCTGATCACAGAATCTGAACTGTCACATCCTGAGAGACACACAATGATAAATCAATCCCCACTCAGAGCTCTTCAGATGCAGGAGACAAACACGACGACAGACACTGAAGCAGCCAATGAAGCTGAAATAACTGAAGCCAGAAATAATCTTGAAATGCCAGCAGAGGAAACAAAGCAAGAGGAGAGACACACAGAAGAAATGAGCAGTTCAGTCGCAGGTCATCAAGATGTGATTGATGAAGAAATCCTGGACTTGTGGATGGAGGCGGCAATGTCAAAGGACACCGATAATGATGAAGACGACCGGTTTGAACTACAAAAGGACACAACAGAACACCAGTTGAGTGAACACTCACCAGAGAGTGAGAGGCAGCTACTGAYGGACCCACGTTCAGTAGAACCTACAGCAGTAAGTGACTCAGAAAGGTTGTCAGAGCCTGGATATTTGGACCAGACTCAACAACTCAAACCAACCACATCCCTCGAAGACGTACACAACATGCTGGTCACTACGTCACAATCAGCCGACTCCTCTGAATTTTCAGCACTTGACTTTGAATCTCAGGCTGAATTGATGGAGGAAACAGCAGAAACTGCAGAGCCAGGCAGGGTGACAGAATCCTGCTCTGATTCAGGACTTTCATCATCGGAGGAAAAACAACTTAATGAGGGATCAGAGCGATCCCTGGAAGAGCTTGATGAAAACCCACCAGAGACTGAAGCTGAGATGGAAACAGGGACAACAGCCTGGAAGGAGACAGAAGAAGCAAATGTTACATCACTGATAAATGTTCATTTTCAGGATGAAACAAGAGTTGAAGATGAGCTTGTTGAGCGTGTTTGGTTCGAGGAGGGCTTCATGTTGGCAGAGCTTCCTTCTGGAGGTGAACAATGGATTGAATCTGAAGAGAACCAGATCTCACGGGATCACAGATGCTCAGAAGAAACCACAGAATCATCACTAAGGCTAATCAGGGCTTTGGTGGCAGAGGAACAAACAGTAATGCTTGAGGATCAGGATGAGGTATTGTTTCCAATCAGATCATAAATGGAAGCAGATATTTTTCATAAGCTGTAGATTCAGCTTTGTTTGTGACTGCAGGTGGATGCTCTGCTGCTGGACTGCAGGATACAAAGGTCACGCATCTCGGTTAAAAATCCTCGTGTCAGGCCACCCACAGATCCACGCTCACTAATAAACATGCCCTCCGCAGATCCCACTCCCTCATCGCATGTGCCGGTTAAACTGCCTGGTGTGCCTTTAGGAGGCTTGGGCATGGGAATCAAACTGCCTGGTATGGCATCAAAGTCAACACTTTAAACATTTTTTTTCATAATTTTGAAAATGTTTCACATCACTGTTTAAATTCATATCAGGTCTTGGTGGAGGTTTTCCTGTTTTAAAGAAGACACAGCGATCCATGAGAGGAGAAGATAGCCAAAGCATCCAATCACAGGTACTGCAATTAGTCATAAATACATGTTTACTCTTATGTTAATAATTAATTTAATGGTTAATTTAAATGGACTTTATATCAACAGGAACCCGAAAAAAAGGTGGAGGAGAGTGAAGGTGCCAAACAGGATGAGACACAACACAAACCTAAATGGATGCCACCAGGACATGCAGGGTAACAAACAAACAAACAAACAAACAAAAGATTCTCAGCACAGTTTGTTACTTCGGCAAACTCAAAGCATTATGAAGGTTTCTGATTCATGTTATTTGTGTCTCCCCAGGTTTGGGAATCCACTTATGTCTGAACTCAGGACCAAACTGAAGAAAACAGCCAAAGACTGAAATAACGTTTTTTAATGTATTCTGCAAATGTTTCAGTATAACATGAACAATTTTATTTTTCTTTATCAGACAAAAAACACATGATGAAATGTATTTTACTTAATTTTATGTTCCTGCATTTTATAATAAAGCACAACTAAAAATAAATGATATTTTATTTAATGTGAACTGTATATGTTTYATTATTCTGCAATATTAACCTCTTTTTTTTAGTTTATCAGGAAGGCATTCAAATTACTGTTTGTRCCTTTTTGGATATATATCTTTATCAAGAAGATTAATTCAGCTGTTGCTCAATCCTAACAAATCACTCATAAGTAAATAAACCTTCCTTAGGTTTTTGGTTAGTTTTGGGTTTCATTTTTGTGAACACTAGAGATACGCACAACATAATACCATATTTATCTGTATATTTTGCAGGGTGTTTTATTTTGAAAATTTTGCACTTCCGTTCTTTTTCTTGTTTTTTTTTTCCTTAGACTTGACTAACTCAATTATTTTTCACTAATTTCGCACTAAATCTAAATCTACAAACTAACAGGCAAAAGATGAGTAAAAAATTTACTTCAGAGCTCACTTTTCCACATCGTTGGAAAGTTGTTCCGTTCATAATTTGGCAGTATTGAATTTCTGTTAAAATGTGATTTTGAAGAAACTAAATTACCTGTTAAATTATCCAAGTTTCATGAAAATGTCCTCCTTTATTGGAAAATGATCTACAAATATAACTTCTCCCCTCACAATACTCACTTATGGAACAATAGATATATACTAATTAAAAATAAGTCCTTTTTACTGGTCAGAACAGGGAATATGGTCTATATTACATTTAATGGACAGCAGAGGTAACTTTCTGGACTTTGCGGATTTTAGGAGTAAATATAATCTCATCTGTAATAGTCAGAAATATTAAGACGTGATTAATGCGACCTCAAGAGCTATTACTTGCAGTATTAAAGGTGCATTATTATATACAGAGATTATACCTTGACAATATTCCTTATTCATTGAAAATCGTCACAACAAAGGTAACAAGTTCTTTAGATCTGTTTCAACCATAGAATGTGTTCCGTCTCCCCTGAAAAGATAATGTTTAATGAAAGAATTTACTTTTACACATACAAAAAGACTCTTAAGTTTCCTATCCCACCTAAAGCAAAATAAGTACATTTTAAAACAATAAACAATATTTATCATTGTGGTGATTTTTTTAAACTCCAAATTTAATATTGGGGATAATGAATGTACTTTTTGCAACAGACATAGAAACAGAGGAGCATCTTTTCTTTTCTTGCATAAATTTAAAAAATATTTTGGGATCTTTTTTTTTTTTTTTTTTTTTGTTATTGGGGGAGAACAAATAATTTACAAATACCCATTTTAAATTATAAAATAGTTAAATTTGGTGTTATAACGGAGGACAAAACAAATGAGTTTCTTATAAATAACTTGTTTATTTTGGTCAAATTCTTTGTTCACAAGTCTAAATATGCTAAAACAAAACCAGTGTTTTCTGTGTTTCTTAATGACTTGGCGTATTTAAGACGTTCTTTAAACTTTTGCATTTCACAAAAAGCAAAATGTTCCACATCGGGTTTAACAGTTGGTCAATAGATGGCGCTGTCGCTCAAACCAACTCATAAACACACGAAGAAGAAAAACTCTGTTTGTGATTGGTTGGAGCATCCGGTAAGTTTTTTTAGAAGGAAGTGACATAATTTTCAAAACTGCGGGTGTTTTGACGGTTGTAATTTCGGCAACATTTCGATGTTACAAGGATAACATAGACTTGTTGATTCTTTTTAGAGTTAATCTTATGTCGGACTGGTTGAAACTATTTTCAGAGACAAAACGTGCCTTTAACAAGGTAAGCAATGACTGATTGTTTGTATGTTTATTCAGTAAAGTTACCAACCAACGCTTGAACAAGCAACAACCTGAGTTCAGAACTGTTTTTAAAACGTTTCTGTGGTTTCTTTTGAGCGCAGAGTTAGCAAAGCAAACGTCAGTGACTTGCAGTAAATTGTTTATCTGGTTTAGGATTTATTTTTATGGATTCAAATCTAATAAGGGAAAAGAGACGTTGTTTTCCACAAAAAAAATACATTTTATAGAATTAGTCAAACAATATGCATAAGGTAGACACAGCGATTGTACTTGTATTTTTAGCTTCTGTTAAAGCCTAGATCAGGGATCATCAATTCCGGTGTTGTGCGAAATTCAGTTCCCCTGTGAAAATCTGTTCCCCCCCTAGTGGTTAACCTAAATGAGGGAGGCGCTTCCAACACGGGGAACAGATTTTCACAGAACTGAATTTCGTACAACACCTGTTCTCGATGTCCGCAGTCCTGCATGTTTTACTTGTTTCTCTGCTCCAACACACCTGTTTTGAATGAATGGATGATTATCAGGCTTCTGCAGGACTTGGAAGAGGTAATTCACTGACTGAATCAGGTGTGTTACAGAAGAGAAAAAAAAGTAAAATATGCAGGACTGCGGACTTGACGATCCCTGGCCTAGACGTTTAGTTGATTTATTTTCAGCCACCTATAGAAAATTCCTAATGTGTGTTATTTATTTATTTATTTATTTAGTAAGTTAGTTAGTTAGTCAAGTCAGTCAGTGGCTAAGGTGGGTTTTTTTTTTTTACATAACAGCCATAAATTATGATGTCTTTATTCATGAAATGTAGTCTTAAGTTTGTCCTGACTCTTGACGTTTTTCATAGATGTAATTATGAAACAGTCATTTAAAACGTTAACCTTGGCCATTTTGTTTTACACTAATTTAGTAACTGTGTAGGTACAGGCTAGTTTTCAGGCCTCAAAMGTGGCTTGACAAACAAGAAAATCTGGAATTTTTAGTTGAAAATTAAAAAAATAATAATAAAATTATCATTTATGTTTGTTTGTTTGTTTTTGTGTTTTGTATTCACAGGCTGTCTGCATATAAAGTCCAAGAAAGACCCCTTAAAAAGAAAAAAAAGGGAAGAGAGAGAGACTTAATCTTAAATATTTTCCAAACACATTCTTTAAGAGGAAAAACCTCTGTTTTATTGTCCTAAAGGAAAACCTTAAAAGCCATTCTTCATGGCCAACAACACAACAACTTCATATGTTCAAGAAGATCTGCAGGCAGACGAATGCCGTGAAAATATCCCGCCTGATGTTTCCGATGAAACTGGCACTTCAAAACTCAAAGTCGTAACGCAGAATGAAACCTTGCATTCCTCTGTGCAGCTATATGAAGAAAACAAACCTGTTTGTGACCCCTGTGCTTTCACAACTCAAGCTCCAACAAGTGGCAATAGTGAAGTCGAGGCAAAGCCAGGCTGCCAGTCTGCTCTAACACCCATTTTAAAAAGCCTAAATATTGACAATGCACACTCATCTTCACAGCTTTTAAAATGTTCAAACAGTCCGCAGTTGTCCTTTTGTTTTTCCTCGATGAATTTTTCTCAAGTAAACTGTCACAATTCAACAAGTCAGTTTGGGAGACTATACTGTGACTTGGAAGCTCCTCTGTGCCTGATTGAAGATGAATGCCTGCCAGAAGTAAGCAATCTTGATTTCACTTACTTGCATTTGACAACAAATGATTCAGTTCTTCCTGAAAATGAACCTTCGTCGTCTAAGCTCGACAATGATATGAGACAAGTTCGAACAAATGCTGCACAAGAAAAGGATGACCCTGTTGAGGTATCACACCTGGATGGGAAGATGGCTATCTGCTCCAAGAACAAGAATGCTCCTTCAGCCACAGGAATAATTGAAACAGAACTGACTCTTCTTGATGCTACAAACAACTCCGAGTTCTCACCAGTTGGGCAGATAAACTTCATGGACATCACTCAGCATTTTTCACCAGCTGATCATTTGAAGGATAGGATAACTGTGTCAGAACCTGGCAGTTCAGTCGCAGTTCCAAATGAGGATCTATCAAACGCAAGTGTGCACTCTGTCAAGTGTGTAACAAAAAAAACAATCAGAACCTCCTTGGATGCTACAATGGTTAGTGTTTTGGAAAAAAGTGATTCTTTGTCAGAGACAAGTGAACAAAAGAAGGGGAAACCTGAAACCCCAGATAAAGCTGAAGTTGGTGCCCAGCCTGCTAATATTACTCAAAACATAAGCTCCTCTAATGACATGTCTGCGCAGGGTGCCCACCTTTCTTCTCCTGGTGTCAAGTGTAACACCAGTTCAGCTAGAGTCCCATCTGAGGTGCATTCTGATCCTGCAGAGGACCCAAATCTAGTGAAAACTGAGTGTGAAGAGGTGCAGACCAGCTGTGACATCAAGTCATCCAGTGTGGTGTCGCAGCAAAGCCACACATTGACTGCATCCAAGAACGGAACATTTCCACTTCTCCGGTCTTCTAATACGAGCGCTACCTTTGACTGTACGTCGACCACTTCAGTTAGTCCCGACAATAAGACTTTTGATCTTTCAGGGAACTCTTCGAAGGCAGAAAGTGAGGCCAGAGATCAGGCAAAGTCCCCCACCACGAAAACATCTAAAAAGGAAAGCAGCCAAGGTAACGTGCAGAATGCCACGTTTGATAGAAATTCTCTACAAAAGACCTGTGACACCTCAGCCTTAGGGGAAGCTGTTGCTGATGGCTGCAGCCTGCAGAACACACTTGATTGTAAATCCCCCTCTCAAAAAAATTGCACCGTTACTTTATCAGAGATCAGCTCAGTCAACATTGCCTGCTACACTTTAGAAAAGCCCTTCTCTCCTAAAGTCTCTAATTTAGCCACTCGCCCTGAAGATGAGCACTCTTCTGATCTGCCAGAGACAGCAGCTGCTGCTGCACAGTCAAATGACAAGAAGGCTGAAAAACATGATGACCCATCTGTGGCAAATTCTTCTTTAGATTCAGCTCCTGGAGTTAGGGGATGTGAATTCAAGGATTTCCAACAGTCGGGACTGCCTGTGTCAGAGAGTCCTTTCAACGTGTTATACAATCAGAGYGTGGTAAACAAAGAAAGCACGTTTGATTTAGATGAGACCTTAGATTTAGAGACAAAGTTCTTGATTACATCAACTCCGATGATTAGCGATAAAACGTCCAACTCTGGCAGCGCGCAAACAGCGAGCACAAACCAGGCTGTACCGAAAAAACTATATCAGGATAATCCCAACAAGCCTGCTGACAAAGCGAAATCAAATATCCCTTCAAACATCATCTGTGATCGTAAAACATTCTTGGCACAGCCTGTTCCTAGAGCTCTTCGCCCGCCTTCAAAAGTTACGTCCCACTTGTTGAAGAACAAACCAGGATCAACCGTTCCAGAGCGCCTTGAAAGGGTGATGACCGGCCTACCTGTAAAAAGGCTGAAAACTCAAGCTGGTGTAAAACTTGCTGCTGCTGAGGAACAACAGAGGGTATGTTGATTAATATTTTGTGTGTTTTTGCAGCTAGGTAGAAAATTTGATGGTGACTTCCATCTGAAGGAGGTCTCTGTCAAAGACTTGAAAAAATTTATAACATCTACTTGCTCTTGTGCACTTTAGACCTCTGGAATATCAAGCTCATGCAACTCGCGGTCTTTAGTAGCAGGTATGTGATTTTGTTTATCATGGTAAACTATTTTTTTAGCTTTGTAGTGTTGTTTTATTACTATTATGAGGTGTGTATGTGTGTGCACTTTTTCCATTGTTTTACGCTTGTCTTCCTTTGTGCTGATTTTTAGTTTCCAAGCTGCCCACTTCTGGCTTGCAGAGACCCCAACCGAGCGGCGTTCCATCGGGCATTTCGAAAGCTGCACCAGGTCTCAGGCCACCGTCTGCAAGATCCACTTGTTTTGCATCTTCAAGTACCAACAAACCCACTGAATCCACAGGTATTTTAAAACTAGCCAGGTTGATTTTACTGTTTATTACCCCACTTCAAAATAGAAAAATACAGCTGAATTTTGGCACAAAATTTGGCCAACAATCAAGTCATTTTTTAAGAATTTTAAATGCCACAAATCACTTCATTTTTTGTAGACTTTTATTTTTAAAAAATTAATCATTTAAGTTTCTCACCCTTAAATTTTGCAATTATTGACAAGTGTCAATGACATGCATTCACATTTATTATAAGGAAATTCTTTTTTTTTTATAGCAGCCAACCCTGTGATGAAGTACTCACAAGGAAAGAAGCACCCTCTACCCAAAGGAGATGCTTTGCCAGTGTCAAAGAGGAAGAAAACAGGTAATGAGTGTGTTGCTTCAGCGGCTTATTAACTTTAAACTTTTTTTCCCTCATGGAAAAAATTGCAGAAAGACTCATTTGAAATATCTCAATATATTACACATTGTCTTTAGTGTTTGTGTTAGGGAACCATGAGTTTCTGGAGCTCACAAGTCATGGGTGAGTTGTGGAYGCATCAACATTTTGGATCTTTTTATTTTCTTTAGATACTATTTTGCCATCCAGTAATACTGAAGCCACATCATCATCATCTGATACGACAAGCAGGTTAAAAACTCTGAAACAGCCTACAGCCAGTCTGAAATGTGCCCCTGCTCAAACTCATAGCAGCAGTAAGTTACAACTTCATCAGAAACACTCTGATCAGCGCTGCTGAGTTTCACTATCTTTACCTGCAGTGACATTTTATTGTTTCTCTTCCTTTCAGGTGCTGCAGGGCTAGCAGCTAGTGCTGAAACCTCAACATCGTGTGACGTATCAAGCAGACCCAAAACTTTGAGACCATCTGGAGCCAGCCTGAGAGCTCCTCTAGCTAAACCCCAAGGACATGGTAAGGTCAACAGTCCATCCGTGTTCGATATCATGAGACAAAAACTCTATTTGTGTCAAATCTTTATGTATTTTTGTTGCAGGCTGTGCGAGATGTGTTGTTCTTCAGGAGGAGCTTAAACAAAAGTCAGATGAAATCCAGAGGCTGAAACAAGGTAACGTAAATTAATTWAAAAAAACATTTAAATGTATTAAAAGGTATACTGGTGCTATGATCATGATAAGTGTGTTTTATATAACTACCTGTGTTTTTGTTTTGTTTTTTGTGTTTTGATGCAAAGATAATTTACTCATTTTTTTTCTCCTCTAGAACTTCAAAAATACAAAAAACAAGAGGACAGCTCAATCTCCCAGTCATGAAAAATACATTGCTCAACCATATGTGCGTTCTTTTTAAATCTATTTTAACACTAAAAATCTTGAATAAAGTTTATTTGAATTTTGAAAATGTATTCAAGTGTTACTGATGTGTTGTTTCATTATAGTAGCTGCATTTGTTTTTAAAGTAAATACTTTGCTTGTGTTTAAGTCTAATTTAGAGAATGATCTGGAAAACATAATTAACCTTACGTAATTTTATTCCAAGTAAGAGCTGACTGCTCAAAGACATTTTTTTCTGTCTGGGATTTTTACATTCCTCCTTGTAACCAATGAACAAGTTTTGAATTGTTGAATGAAAATCTCTGGGTGAGAAATTTATCTGTGTAAGACTTTGTATACAAATATATTTGCTCATTTTATCATTTGCTGCCTGGTTAAAAAGCGTTCTTTGTTTAAGTTTTTTTATGCGGTTTTCAAACTATAATTACAGGATAAAATATTTCATACAGTTAAGTGTAACAAAAACTATTCCTACAGTACAAGTATAAGATTTAAATGAGAAAATACAGTTTTATTTATGCGAAAATAATATATGTTGAAATGTGTATCCTGTATATGTGAACCTTGAAAGCTTAAATTAAGATTCAATTAAAGTAGTAAAACCAGTGTACTAATTAAATGAGAATAAACGATTAAGAATATGAAAAGCTTTTTTTTTTTTTTTTTTTTTTTTTTGCGGTTGTGAAGAAAATTGTAAGTGGCTCATAGTTCAGCAATACTGTTATAGATTTATCTGAGGAGGGGAGGGAATATTTATGATTTTTGTTTTTTCCTCTTATGTCAGGGCAAGTAACAGTTTCAGCATGAAGGTCCTTTTTTTATTCAAACAAAAGTAGTTTCAATCAAAAAAAACTTGTTTCAAAATCCGTAAGATTGCTCTATACGTCCGTATACCTGCAAAATGACGTAAAATCCTTGTAACTTACGGACAATCCGTACAACTTCACATGTATGCAATAATGTAAATATTTTCACACACAAATAATATAGGTTTAAAATCATTTTACTTAACAGTGTTCAGAAACTTTTTACAATTTAAGGCCAGAACTTGTTCAAACGTCTCTTCACTCGTTCCCTCACTTCCTTGCCTAAAGCAGAGTTCATCTGATGAGCCTGCAGCTGGTTCTCACTGAGAAACAAGGATAGTAATAATCATGACACCGACGACAGTCCATGCTCCTGTTGCTGTCCACACAGTATCCTTCGAAAGAGCCACTGAAATATCTACAGGTGCTGGTCATAAAATTAGAATATCATGAAAAAGTCGATTTATTTCAGTAATTCCATTTAAAAAGTGAAACTTGTATATTATATTCATACATTACAT